CATGTCTAGAGTCTTAGACACCTGTTTTAGTTTCTTGTTTCCTCCTGTCTACTTTTTGTCTTTCAAAATGCTCATTTCATTAGGCAATTAAACTCATGTCTAGTTCAAGGAAGGCTGACAAATTAATAAGCATCTTAGAGAAATAAGCAAGATGCTGCTCAAAAATGGCCTCTAGTGAAGTCACTAGTCACTACATGTCTACTTTCTAAATGAACTGTTTCATATTTAATTAATAGAGAAACAGTAGCACCAGGCTGTGGTCAAAATTACAGTTGCACCATTCCAATATTGTTGAAACTTCAAAATCAAATATAAGTTGTTAAACACAAGTTACCAACTTAGCATTACCAAGCAATATAAGCTTCAAGTCAAACTACAGAATATATAGCTTTTAAGGATGAAACTCTGAATCATGGTAAATAGAAAACAACCATAAAACTAGCATCATGCTTTTTAACCTTCCTAACCCAACATTATATCTATTTTACATGCCAGCAACGGGTATCTCATAACCAAGAAGCAGAATTACCATTGATATTGTTACTTAAGTTTGAGTAAAAGTGACACATAATCACATTTCAGGAATCTGGTCATTTTATAAAAAAATTTTCTGTATAATACTTGGATACAAAGAAACTCACCAATTGAGGAGGTTCTGAGTGATCATATCTTAGACAAGTTGCAGCCAGTTCATCTAAACTTCTCTTAATGCCAATGCCACCCTATTTAAATTTCCAATAGACATCACAAAATTTGGAGGAATAAAAAAGCACGCAACCAAAGATGTGCAAGTATGAAAAGGTGTAGGAAATCAATATATGATATGTACCTGAACTGGCATCCCTGGAGGCTTATTGATAACAATTATAGCAGAATCCTAAAATCAAATTGGATGCCAGGTCATAAGTTAGAAATTAAATGGCTTAATATTCACATACCAACTGAAGACAATCTAAATTGAGAACCTTATACAATTCCAGGCTCCGAAGAAAGTTCACTTCTTCTTCCGCACAATGCCATTGTTTCTCCTGCAGCTCCTGCTTCTCAGCAGGCAACTCCTGGACACTAATAGGAATACAGATTCTATCTCCAATGTTCAACAGATCCTTTGCTCCCACCTTTCCAGTAATTTTCAACATAAATCAAAACTCTCCAATAATAATCCCCTCAATAATCCCATATTAAGGAAACATAAGAATAAGCAACTCCAATCAATTACCCTTTTAAGTTGGCTATTTCCCATGGTGCAGCAACTCCGGGCAGCACCGCAGGACCCACTTAAGCGCCGTCGTCTCAGTAACGGCTTTGGCTGCTCCAGCAGCGTTGGCGACAAGTTGTCTTCCAAGTGCAGCGCCACTGATCGGTTGAGAAAATGGAGGCAGCGTGAACCATTTTCCTCCTCTTTTCTTGTTGCCATTACAACTCTCAATTTCGCGTCGGGGAAACGACTCGGTGGCGGTACTGTATTCAGACCGGAGAGCGTGGAAGGCTGAGATAGAAGGTCCACCGCTACGTCGCGTGGTGGATGATTGTGTTCGCCAGAGGCGGAGGAGGAGGCCGAGCTGTCCCCTCATCGCCGTGAATTCCGCCCTTGAAGGAATGTTTAGAGGTTTTAATGAGGTTTTTATTTTGGCGACAAAGCCTACATTTAGCTCCTCATCTTAGTAAAGCGTTACTTTTAACTCTTCACTTTATTAAAGTCTCTTGGCTAGGTACTTGATAATTTAATTTCAATTATGGGTTATTTAATTTAAATTGTCTAGTCTCTAGTAGTTTAATGTAAATCTTATTCATTATAATAAGGGTTTGATCCCTCTCCTCTAAAATTACTTGCCCTTATTAAAAAAAAAAAAGAAACTAAGAACAAAAATGAGGAAAAAACAAAAACAAAAAAAAGGGGTTTTTCTACTTTTATATGGTTTTCATGGGCAACGGCCTGGGCCCAACTAGGTCTGAACAGCAGACCAGCC